TGCTGCTCGTCACAGGCGATAGGCTCTCCAACACAATCAGCATCAGTGGGCTCGAAGCAGATCGAACCATCGGATTTCTTGATTAGACCGAAGCAGACAGGGGGAGACTGCCAGGTCTTGCAGTAGGAATTGAACTTCGACTTAGCACAGCCTTCCACATACAAACACATCTGAGCACATGGGTCTTCAGTGGCGGACACAAGTGACAGGGTTGCAACCAAAGCCGATAGGGAAAGAATGAAGGAACGCATTTGATATATCACAAATGGAGAGAACTTTACTAACAAATCAAGGATACGCAAGAGACTCTCCTCAAGGTTATCAGATCTATGTTAAGTCAATATTGTTAACGATATTAATTTTATACTGCTGTTGCTATAGCATAGCTATTCGGCGCCATGCACATCTGTGTGTGCTGTTTCCTTCGCCATACTGTGGAGCAGCTAAACAGTCTAGCAACACAACAAGCACAGAGTAATAGGCGACTATGGCTCGATAGCATGTGGCTACATGGTCAATGGAATCACTGTCCACCTTCGGTGCAACCCTTCGCACGTCTTGAGCACGGCTGCCCCACATCACAGCGCAATCATATCTGAGCGCCGTCCGAAAAGCGCGCGCCATAGTGATCTTAAATACATACTGCGATATTTCAGCGCGTAATTCGTTGCGCACGAGAACTTTTGAGCGCAAAGATTGGTTCTAGCTCTGGGTGATCCTCTTGACATTATGTTTGAATTTCAGTCTCTACGTGAAGTCTTTCAAAGGCTACCTATTCAGGAGGGATCGTAACGAGCCCGAACGTTCGAGGAGCGGCTGGAGATGCGTCAAGTCTGATCACCCTCCTGCAGGAAGCCTCAAGTGCAAAGCTCGGTTGACTATCTCAGGCGATCTCAACGGACCGGCCAACATGTTAGTTGTGAAGAATATTGATTAGGTGGCTGAGCATGTTTGTGGGGCCCGAATGCAGGGAAGGTGGTTCTGGTGAATTCCATGAAAAAAGCCATGGAACTGTCAGCATTCGAGAAGAAACCAGCCGAGGTTTACGACTACGTCACCGGAAGGTCGCCTCCTCAGTACATCGAGCAGTTGCCAAAGCGGTCTTCGGTTATGGAGAACCTCCGTAGATTCAAGGAAAAGAACCACCCGCTGCCGAAAGCTCCTAAGCAGCGTTGTGGGTTTGAGATTCCACCTGAGTTCAGTCACGCTATCATCGGGCAGGAGGTTCGTCCTACACTTGTCTATGACTCCGGCAAGGATGACAAGGACCGAATCCTCGTGTGGAGTGATAAACTTTTGGTT